GGTGTGTGTGCGTACGTGCCCAAGATCCTGAGAGGAGAATGGAGGAGAAGGGATTGCGGCGTGACCATCCCCCCTGGGGGGTGATTTCTCACTTTCTGTCTCTATGTCTCTCTCTGTCTGTCTGGCAAGCTCATGCGCCCTGTAGCAAAAAACCTCTGAAAAAAAAAATCTCTCTCAAAATGAAGTGAGCAGCTAAGATGATTTCTGGCAGATTCATCAGTTCCTTTCATGGTTCGCTGGTTTGTTGCTGTGCTATGCTCCTCCCAGGAGCTCACAAGGTATTCAGAGCCCCCAGTTGGCCGGCAGCTAGAGAACAGGGATGGGAGCGCCCTCCCCAGGCCTGGCCTGGCAGCTGGGAGGCAGAGGGCAGCTCCTGACCGCTTGGGAGGTCAAGGGAGGCTCTTCAGCGAGACAGCCAACACAGAGGTTAACAAAGACCCAGGGGGAGGACCAGCAGTTAGCATAATGGCTATGTCGCTGGACTCCCACGTAGTCGACCACGGTTCGCGTCCCGGACCCGGTGGCTAAAACTCAGCCGGCGCGTGTGCGTGCGTGCCCAAGATCCCGAGAGGAGAATGGAGGAGAAGGGATTGCAGGGTGGCCATCCCCCCTGGGGGGTGATTTCTCGCTTTCTGTCTCTCTGTGTCTCTGTCTGGCGAGCACATGTGCCCTATGGCAAAAAAAACTCTAAAAAAAAATTAACAATCAAAGACCCAGGGGTGGGGCGACGGGGCCATTTCCGGCCTGAGGAAGAGCCGTGGGTGGCTGGGAGGGGGGTCTGTGCCTCCTGGAACCCAGAACGGGAGGCCGGGTGACAGGGACCCTTCTCAGGTGGGGACGGGGACGATACAGGGGGCTGCGGCGCGGAAGGTGGGGCCGGTGGCCATTAAAGGGCTCAGAGGTCACCCAGGGGCGCAGAGGCACCCTGCGGCGTCCGTGGTAGAAGTACGTGGGTACAGGGCCTCTGGCCGTGCGGAGCTTGGAACGAGCGGGGAGCCTGCGAGGCCTGGGTGCCACGGCAGCCGGGACCTGCGCCTGAGAGCGTGCTGCGCCGGGGAGGAAGGACGGGGTCCGGGCTGGGCTTGCGGGAGCCCTTCCCGAGATGCCACCTGTCTGGGAGCCGGCGACGAGGAGCACTTGGGGAGCTGGTGCTGGGTTACCGTGGTGACGCCTGTGACGTCACACAGGCCCTGCCAGGCTCTCCGCCTTCCTTCTTGACCGCGGAGGACACTCTTGGAGCAAAATGGGCATCCCGCCCAGGAGGTGAGCCTGCAGCGCCAGCCCTGTGCCCCGCTGCCAAGCCTCGCCCCCAGCGCCACACCGCGGCCCCATGTCGGGAATCGGCAGCGCCCGGGGCTGCGCAGCAGGCTGGATTGCGGGCTGCTCCTGCGAGAGCAAGTTGCGCCGCAGCTCAGTCTCGGGCAGGTGGACGCTGCGGTGCAAGTGTGCCCAGGCGCGCCCGGCCAGTGTCTGCCTGCGGGAGGAACTGCCACCTGTCACTCTCCAGATGTGGCCTGCAGGGTGGGGAGACATTGGCTGAGGTGGGAGTTGGTGAGGGGCCCCTTCGTTTTCCCAGGCACGGGGCATGGGCACTGAGTCATCTTCCCCTTGGGGGGGCTTGAGCCAGCTTTGCTCAGGGTGAGCGTGGGAGCGTGGCCCCAGGGCTGACCCTGCTTTGCCCTGGGACAGCAGGAAACCTCTGCTGGAGGGCGTGGACACTTCTTTCCTCCGCTCTAATCATTCCCTGAGAATTCAAGAATACCCAGAAATTAGCCTGGGCTCAAGGAGCATCTGTGTGCAAAGCTACACAGCATTTTCTCTAAACGTTATTGTAACCCGAAGTGTTCTAGTTTCCTCTAGAGCAAACTGACGTGAAATGAATAAAATCCCGAGCCGGGAGGTGGTATGGAGGTTGGGCAGCTTGGTCCCACACGAGTGACTACAAAGGTTGAGCCCTGAACCCAACAACTTAAAGATCATTCTCGGGCTCCTGAGATGGCTACTGACTTGCGCTGTGAAATATTGCTTTCCGGGACTAAAAATGAAGGTCTTCTGCTGAGCCTTCTCCCTCCAGATTCAGTTCTAGTGGGTAGGGCTACCTCTTATCCTTCTCTCTGTCTCTCTGTGTCTCCCTGTGTCTTGTCTTTCTTTATTTTTTTAAGGTAAAGTATTCTCTGGGCTCTCAAACCCCTCCTTTACTGTGCTTAATTGTGCCTTTCCCCCTCCCGCTTAGGAAAGGCACAGACCCAGGCCCTTCCTGAGACGGGCACTGATCTTGAGCTGTGACATACTGCTTATGTGTGCTACATGGTTTTCATTTTTGCTTTTTAAAATTAGAATACAAAATATTTTATTGTCTTTTTTCTTTCTTCTTTTTCTTTCTTTCTTTTTTCTCATCTTCTTTCCTCTTCTCTAACCCTTTTCCTTTTCCCTTTAACTGTATTCGTTGGCTGCTCAGCCTCCACTGAGCACTGAGTGTCTAGACAGGTCAAAGTGAACAGTATTCAAACATCTGAATACTATTAGGGTCATAATTCTCTTCAATTCCCACGGAATCTGACACACAAAGAGTGAAAAACAGAATGGAAGAGAGATTGCAGATCACCTCCCCCTGCACACCTCTGAATGCTCAGATTGAACTTTAAGAGTTAGGAAGAAATGCACCATCCACCAGATGATTAGAACTCACTGCAAGAGCACAAGAAATATGAGAAAGCAAGAAAATACCTCTCCTCCAAGGGAAAAGAATAGTTCCCCTTCATTGAGAAATCACCCCCCATGGTGAATGGCCACGCCGCAATCCCTTCTCCTCCATTGTCCTCTCGGGATCTTGGGCACGCACACACACGCATCCGGTGTGTGTGAAGCCATCGGGTCCGGGACACGAACTGCGGTCGACTACGAGGGAGTCCAGACACAAAGCCATTACGCTAACTGCTGGTCCCCTGAGTGACTGTTTTCTTCTGGTTGCAGAACTTCTTGAGCTGATGGATTCTTACAGAAGCCCAGGCCCTCCAGAGAAGCCGGCTGGCAAATACAAGGTACGCGGGCTTCCTCCGAGGTGCAGGGGCTTTCAGGGGGTGCGTCCAAGTGTTTGACCCTTCCCAGCTTAATCAACAGTGTCCTGAACTTGAGTCACTAAGTATCAGGGATAGGAAACAAACAAACAACAATAAAAACCAAAACCACCCCTGTCCTTTCTTCTTTTCTCCCCCACCCCCCAGGTTTTTTGCCAGTGTGCATGTGCTTGCTAGAGACAGACAGAAAGTGGGAAAGCGGGAAATCACCCCACAGGACGACCCCAACACAGTCCCTTCTCCATTCTCCTCTCAGGATTTTGCGCACGTACCCCTGCGCGATGTGATTTTTCAGGCTTAATTTCTTCTTAATTTATTATATGTCAGTGTAATTATATTTAAAAAGTGTCTGGTCAAAATTATACCGACTTAGGCATAAACATGTTAGTCTTAAAAACATAAACACTAGGGGACCAGCAGGTGGCATGGTGGTTAAGGTGCTGACACTCCCACATGGCTGACTATGGTTCAAGTCCTGGACCTGGTAGCTTGCTTTCTCACTTTTCCTCTCTTTCTCTCTGTCTGTCTCTCTCTCTCTGATCAAATTAAAATAAATGAATGAATAAATAAAATAAATAAAGTTAAATAATTCTTTTAAAAAAAAACACATAAACATTGGTGGGACCCGCAGTTAGCGTAACGGCTATGTCGCTGGACTCCCATATAGTTGACCACAGTTCATGTCCTGGACCCAGTGGCTTAAAACTCACGCCGGATTTGTGTGCATGCGTGCCCAAGATCCCGAGAGGAGAATGGAGGAGAAGGGATTGCGGCATGACCATCCCCCCTGGGGGGTGATTTCTCGCTTTCTATCTCTGTCTAGCGAGTGCACAAGCCCTATAGCAAAACAAAACAAAACAAAAAAACAAAAAAAAACAAACCTTTCCCCCAAAAAATAAATAAATAAACACTGGGGGCCGGCAGGTGGCATGGCGGTTGAGGTAGTGGACACTCCCACATGTCCAACTATGGATTGAGGCCTGGACCTGGTGGCGTGCTTTCTCACTTTCCTTCCTCTCTTTCTCTGTCTCTCTCTCTGGTCAAATTAAAATAAATGAATGAATAAATAAAGTTGGATAAATAATTAAAAAAAAAAAAACATAAACACCGGAGGATAAAAGAAGAAAGAAAAACTGTGATTTTTCCATATTTTAATGAAAATATGGAACCTATGTCCCCTCCGAAGGAACTGACTATATAAGGGGTGGACTGCAGTTACTTGGAGTGTCCCTTTTTGCTCTACGTGCATTTGGGTCATTTTCAGTCTCCTGCTTTCCTTAGGCAGTTGAGTGTTTCCTGGGCACTGACCTAGCAGGTATGCCGAGGAGGAAGCCCAGGGGTATTTCTTGTTGTGCGTGCATTTCTCAGGGCTCCCTGCTCTCCTGGTGCAGGAAAGGCGCTGAGGCTGAAGCAGGTCTGTTTCAGGTGGGAAAGAAAGTACATACCCTGTGAAACGGCGCGGCGTGTCAGTACCGCCTGAGAGTGCGCGGGGCTGCCATCTGCAGTCTAGCTGCGGGCACACTCCAGCTAGTCCTCTTAGAAACTACTGCTGGGGGGAGGCAGCAAGTGGCGTGGTGGTTAAGGCACTGGCCTCTCACAAGGCCAGCTGTGGTTCGAGTCCCAGACCTGGTGGCTTGCTCTCTCACTTTCCTTTTCTCTTTCTGTCTCTCTATGGTAAGCACACATGCTCCATAGGAAATTTAAAAATAACAATAATTGGACCAGCAGGTGGCGTGGTGGTTAAGGCATTGGACACTGCCACATGGCTGACCACGGTTCGAGTCCTGGATCTGGTGGTGTGCTTCCTCACTGTCCCACTCTCATTCTCTTTGTGTCTCTCTCTGGTCAAATTAAAACGAATGAATAAATAAATCAAATTAAACAAATAATTCTTAAGAAAATAACAGTAATAATAAATGAAATTAAGAAAAAAGAAACTGCTACTGGGGAAGCAGATCGGCTGATCTGTCATCTCACACAGTTATTTTTAAGTGCTAAGAACAGCTCATTTTTTTTTAATTTGCCAGAGGGCACATGTGCTTGCTGGAGAGAGGGAGAAGTGGTAAAGCACCCCACCCCCGTTAGAGAGCACGGATTGCAATCCCTCTCCCTCCCTCCCTCTTTTGGGATTTTGGGCGTACACGCAGCACACCTAGTGTGTTTCTCAAGTCCTCAGGTCCGGGACGTGAATCATGCAGTTGGTCATGTGGAATCCAGCTGTCACAGCCACCTTGCCTGGCTGGCCCTCTATCAAAGTGTTCACGCTTATTCTGTGGGCCGGTAAGTGGTGCGGCTGTTAATGGCGCCGGACTCGCACATGGCCGGCTGCAGTTCATGTCCTGGACCTGGCGGCTTGCTTTCTCACTTTCCCTCTTTCTCTCACTCTGTCCGTCTCTGGTCAAATTCAAATAAATACACAGATAAATAAAATAAAGTAAAAATTCTAAAAACGCTTTATTCTGTACATAAAATATATTTTTAAAGAATTATTTATTTAAGGGACCATCAGGTGGCATGGTGGTTAAGGAGCTGGACACTCCCACATGGCTGACCATGGTTCGAGACCCAGACCTGGTGGCGTGCTTTCTCACTTTCCCTCTCTCTCCCTCTCTTTGTGTCTCTCTCTGGTCAAAGTAAAAAATAAATGAATGAATAAAATTAAATAAATAATTTAAAAGATTATTTAATTTTATTCATTGTTAATTTAATTTTTTAAAATTTTAATTTGTGCTCACCAGAGAGAAACAGAGGGACAGAGAGAAAGCAAGCTGCCAGTCCAGGGACTTTAACCACAGTCAACCGTGCGGGAGGTCCAGTGCCTCAACCACCACGCCACCTGCTGGCCCCCATGTGTAGAATTTTTATTTAATTATTTACTTTATTATTGTTGTTATTTTTAAAATTTGCATGAACATGAGCATTTACCAGAGGGAGACAGAGAAAGGGAAAATGAGAAAGCAACCGCCAGTCCCGGGACTCAGGCCGCAGTCGGCCGTGTGGGAGTCCAGTGCCTTACCCAGCACACCACGTGCTGGCCCCATAGGTAGAACTTTCCTTTGTTCGTTGAGAGATATTCACTATAGGGCATGTGCTCGCTAGAGAGACAGAGACAGAAAGCAAGAAATCACCACCCCGGTGAGAGGGCCACATTGCAATCCCTCCTCCTCCACCCTTCTCAGGATTTGGGGCATGCATGCACCCACCCCTGTGTGAGTTTCTAGCCGCTGGGTCCAGGACTTGAACTGTAGTTACCCATGTGGGAGTCCAGTGCCTTAACCACTATACCACCTGCTGGTCCCAGGTAGATCTTTTAAGAGGTTTTTGTCTTAAGGCGAGTGTGCTCACCAGAGAGAGAGACAGTGAGGAGAGAGAGAGAGAAATCACCCTCTGGGGGATGACCATGCCGCAACCCTGTCTTCTCGGTTAGTCTCCAAGAATCTCGGGTATGCCAGCACACTCACCTGGCAGGACTCAAACCACGGAGGGCCACGTGGGAGTCTAGCCACACAACTGCTACGCCATCTGCTGGTCCTTCCACACAGAATATTTTAATATATTAGTAAAATCCTGGATAATCACACACAAAATAAAAATAATAATGAAAAATAGAAAACTCATTAAAGTGCAAGAGGGGAAAGACGTGTGGGCCGCACCTTCCCCGTCTGGAGCAGAGCAGCCCAGCCCTGAGGCCTGGTCAGCTGGACACGGCCGTGACTAAGCTGTTCATTAGGCAGTTCGCCCACACATGGGAGGATGGCGTCACGTTCCTCAGCTTCAAAGATCAAGCCCTGGCAGTCCAGTTTCTCACCAGCAGGTGGCGTGGTGGTTAAGGCATTGGACACTGCCACATGGCTGACCACGGTTCGAGTCCTGGATCTGGTGGTGTGCTTCCTCACTGTCCCACTCTCATTCTCTTTGTGTCTCTCTCTGGTCAAATTAAAACGAATGAATAAATAAATCAAATTAAACAAATAATTCTTAAGAAAATAACAGTAATAATAAATGAAATTAAGAAAAAAGAAACTGCTACTGGGGAAGCAGATCGGCTGATCTGTCATCTCACACAGTTATTTTTAAGTGCTAAGAACAGCTCATTTTTTTTTAATTTGCCAGAGGGCACATGTGCTTGCTGGAGAGAGGGAGAAGTGGTAAAGCACCCCACCCCCGTTAGAGAGCACGGATTGCAATCCCTCTCCCTCCCTCCCTCTTTTGGGATTTTGGGCGTACACGCAGCACACCTAGTGTGTTTCTCAAGTCCTCAGGTCCGGGACGTGAATCATGCAGTTGGTCATGTGGAATCCAGCTGTCACAGCCACCTTGCCTGGCTGGCCCTCTATCAAAGTGTTCACGCTTATTCTGTGGGCCGGTAAGTGGTGCGGCTGTTAATGGCGCCGGACTCGCACATGGCCGGCTGCAGTTCATGTCCTGGACCTGGCGGCTTGCTTTCTCACTTTCCCTCTTTCTCTCACTCTGTCCGTCTCTGGTCAAATTCAAATAAATACACAGATAAATAAAATAAAGTAAAAATTCTAAAAACGCTTTATTCTGTACATAAAATATATTTTTAAAGAATTATTTATTTAAGGGACCATCAGGTGGCATGGTGGTTAAGGAGCTGGACACTCCCACATGGCTGACCATGGTTCGAGACCCAGACCTGGTGGCGTGCTTTCTCACTTTCCCTCTCTCTCCCTCTCTTTGTGTCTCTCTCTGGTCAAAGTAAAAAATAAATGAATGAATAAAATTAAATAAATAATTTAAAAGATTATTTAATTTTATTCATTGTTAATTTAATTTTTTAAAATTTTAATTTGTGCTCACCAGAGAGAAACAGAGGGACAGAGAGAAAGCAAGCTGCCAGTCCAGGGACTTTAACCACAGTCAACCGTGCGGGAGGTCCAGTGCCTCAACCACCACGCCACCTGCTGGCCCCCATGTGTAGAATTTTTATTTAATTATTTACT